TTTTGATCCCAGCCCAAATAAGTGGGAGAGACGGTTGGATTCCCCGGCCACTTAAGCGGATGTAAGGCGGTTGCTGCCGAACGTTTAACGCGGGTTTCCTAATCCCCTCCCCGCGAAAAGGGATTCCGTGGATTTCTAACCCGCATTCACCCGCATCGCGCGATGACGTCACCACGCGGTATCTGCGTCGATGACGACGTTTCCGCATCTGCGATTCGAGGGCAAGTGCGGAAATCCCACGGTGCAGGCAGTCTAAAAGCGGAAATCGCACTATCACCGAGCTCTTCCCGGACGCGAAACTTCCCTCCGATACCATGAAGGTCACTTTCCTCGTCCTATTTAAGCCCCGCATGCACGTGCGAAAACGCTTCCATCGCATTCAGCAGCAAGAAGGAGAATGAAGTTCCTCGCGGTTCTGCTCTTCGCGGTCAGCATCTTCGCTTCCGCATTCGCTTTCAAGGTCCCATCCAGCGGCGGCGGCGGTGAGCCGATATCCATTTTTCATTAGCATACGGGCTAGCGTTTATTTTAAATGTTAATTCGTTCAGTTAGGACCGATCCGATACGCTTTCGATTCCGCGGCCGATTCACTTCTCACCGTGGCAAAAAGGAACGCGACTGTGTTTAGTCCTCGATGAGGACGGTGGCAGGCATGCTACTCGACGCAAAATCGGGAAGGATGAACGTGGGGAAAAGCACGCTTGTAATGATGATGGTGTTGACGGATGGCGGCTTGCGAGGGTAGCGCTATGACGGGGGATGCGCCCATCATCAGCAAATGGGGAGGATTTTTCGTCAGGAAAGGGTTGGGCATGAGCAAGGATGGCGGTACATCGAAGGTCGACCGAACGCGGTCGAAAGGTCAAATGTGGTTCTGCAGCTCACTGGGAGAGTTCAATGGCATCACCTATCTAGCCCCTCGAGGAAAGAAAGAAGACAGGAAAATGACGGAAGGAAGTCGATCGAGATGCCAAAAACGAGTTTTCCTATTTTGGACTCTCCGTTTCGTGCGGATCGGCACCGCTCGAGGCTTAAATCCCGATGCGAGAAATGAGTTGCACCCTCGAGTAATCTCGCTCTCGGTTCACTCTGTTTATGTCTTCTCTTGCGTTTAGTCCTTCATCGCTGTTTTCAGACGGGAAACTCGGCAGAAGTAACTCTTCCGAGACGGATGTCTTCCCCTCTTTACGATTTAAAGATTTAACGGTAACTATGTCCATTCGGTTTGTCGGCAGCGGAAACACCTCACTACTATGACATCAAAGGACAACAAAGCTCCTGTATAACTACGGAAACACCTAGGCAAAAATGCAACAAATCCCGTGGGACAGCTTCATTTCGAAGCATATTTTGAGACACGAGGAAAAGTGTTCCAGATATGGCTTTTGTGAAAACTATGATTTGTGGCTGTTTGTGAACAAGAGCGTGTCCTCTAGAGGTCTTCCTGCAGGAAAACTAAGTATTTTCTGAAGCACGTTTCACCCACGTAAGATCCCCCCCCCAAAAAAAAAAAAAATCGTGAAACATGCGAGCGTTAGACGAGCCAGCCCAAAGCAGAATTCCGCCGTTACATATGCACGACCCAGTGCGAAACGATGAGATTCACGCAACGGATGCCGTCTCGTTCCAGGTCCATGCGATGGCCCGTGCACGCTGGAATACCGGCCGCTGTGCGCGTCCAACGGCGTCACCTACCCCAACCGATGCACCATGGAGAGAGCCGCGTGCAGGGATGACAGCGTCTACTTTGTCGGCTGGGGGGAGTGTTGATTCGAGTCTTCGTTCCAGAGTCTTTTCGTCTTCTTTCGTTCTTTCTTCGTTCTTTTGAGTTCGAAGATGACGTTTTCTTTCCTTCAACTTTTTCTCGCCGATCGCGAAACATTTTCGAGATGTGAAAAATTCTTCGAGCGAGATTTTGCTCGGTCGTACGATTCGCCGTTCTTCGATTGTTTCGCGGTTGCGTGAATTATGTTTGGATCCCTTGTGGGCAAATAACGGAATAAATTCAGAGTTTCAAAAGGGCAATCGGGTGTGACGTGAAATCACAGCGAGATGATCACACGATACAGCGAGACACGCCCGAGACCCCATGCACGCATGCAAACTTCGAGACCAAAGGCCCCGAGGAAAAGTTTTTCGGCATCGGTTGCAGGGTGACTCGACAGCGCCATCTTGTCAACTGTCGAATCTCGGGGGAGTTCTCGCTTCGTTGGGCCGGGTGCGCGGGACAGTGCTTGCTTGTCCCAACAGGGTAGGATTCGAGTCGCGTCGCTGGTTCTGTATTCATAACAAAGGAAGTGAATGCAGGCGTGGAGGTCTTGGGAGCGAAAGCAATGTTAAAAGATTCTGGATTTTCGATCCGTGAAGCCTCTATCTAGGAAGTGAATCTGAAAGCAGAATGCATGCGGGTGGCGGGGTTTTCTGCAATTTACGGCGATTTGGAATCTCCCTAGTGAGAGAAAGAATTTCGACAAACCCGCAGGATGGAAAAATATCGACTGAATTTCGCGTGAAAGCCAATGGGGATCTACGAAGTACAAAATCACCCAGACAGCTTTCTTTCCCACGGCTCGACTCGTCTCACCGCGGACAATTTTCCTTCCGTGCGCGGAAAACTCACTGAAGGGTGAAGAATGCCGCCGCGGCGACTGCCTGCCTGTGCTAAAGAAAGAGGCATGTGGAAGGCATCGACGAAAGGAAGAATTAACTGAAGGTCTGAGTAGCTGGCCTTGCACTCAGACCTTGATATGTTTTTGGGGACTCCCGATGGGGTCGTCAGAGGGCTCGCATGATCCCGTCCGCGGGACGGGAACGGGATCAACGAGATGCTGTTCAGAGTACTGGAACGGACGTTCGGCCCCGGCCGCTTTTGTACGCGGTCTACTTCTCGTTCCCGCCGTCATTCTGCAAACTCCATCGACGACCGTCCTGCGGGAATGCGTCGAACGAACGAGCAAGCCGTCAAATGCCTGATGGCGTCTCTGTGTCCTTGAACCATAGGTAGAAAGAAGTAACGTTAGTGAAGCTACGGTTTGTGAGGCCTCGTGAGGTCTCATAATCCTCATGAGGAACCTCGCATTCCTCATGGGGAATTCGGCAGATCTCATGAGTTTATAAGGTATTTTTCGACAAGGTATCCAAGTACAAACGACCCGCAGATCGGAATTTATCCGGTGAACTCCTCCCAGGTTTCCCACCCGATTTTCATCATTAATAGCTCATTCGATTCGTAATTATTTGTAGATGTGTAAACTAATGCTATAATTTTTTTTTTCAGAGTTGACCTGATCCAGATGACTTTTCGTATAAATTTTGAACCCATATTCCAGTGTGATACAACATTCGAAAGCTTTCGATTTCCCCTGTTAGGGATTTGTTTTTACGTTATAAAAAAATGTTGACATTTGATCCTGCTGCGGTCAATCTGAATTGAGAATGCCCCGGCGCCATCTTTGTACAGCGCTCTGCTTTGAACTACTGTAAAGCACCAGCTTTCAACACTTGACTTCGTCTCGAAGTTCACATTCCTTCTCAGTTGTACAAAGAAGTGTTCGTCATTCTTATCACTCGTGATTCTCTCAGTACCAGCAATTTTTTCATCACCACCCCTTTGTTCTTTCGTCAAAAGCGACTTTTATACTGTCCACAAATATATCTAATTTTTACTTCCGAGGAACTAACTCCCAGCCTCGGCCAACGGACCATACATTGGGTATGGGCAGGGCCTTGGGGAGAGTTCCCAAGTGCCATGATTCCTTTTAATCGAGAAAAAAATTTTCTTTCGCAATGGCCATCCAGTGATAGAAGTCGGTCAGTCTACACACCCGGTGTGTACACGGATTTTAGACTAGTGTATGATAGGCGGCTTCTAGGTAATACGAAGAGGAGGAGTTTTGCACGATCACTAGCGGTAGGGTGGCAAAGGAAAATTTCTTTGGCAATATGTTCAAGTGTCGACATTGCTCGTGAAAGGGTTCACTGTCACGTTTTTCACTGATGTAAGGTCCTTTTTCAAGCGCGACATTCTCGAAATAAATACATAAAATCCAAGCCAGCTCAAACAGGCATAGTACTATCTGAACGATGATTGCCTCTGTTCATGTATCGTGTAACAAGCTTATCCGTGTCAATCAGAAAATCTGTCAAGTGTCAATCTGTCAAGACCCTGGAAAAACCATGATTCTAGATGCTTGAGTACGACCTGCATTTAGAATGCAGATCATACTCAAACACAATCCAGACTCATTGTAGGAACAGGTTAATGCAAGCATGCTTCTATCCTGGATACAAAATGAGACTTCTTTTTCTTTCGCAATTCGATTCTTTACCTTACTTTTTTTGGGGGCCACATTTGATGTGAAAGTTTGATATTTTGAATGGACCAGACCAAACTCCATCAAATATGTATTCTCATTCTATATTCTGTATTAGCAGAGGAAAATACTATGTTGAGCATTCTTGGCATTCTTTTTTCGAAGACCATCACAAACTTACCAGAATGGCTCATATCTATCCCAAACCAGAACGATACTTCACCCAAATGCATCCAGATCGACAGATGCAGGATCATTTGTATCAATAGAAAGAACTCTTAAACCAAGGTTCAAGGATCAGCCAACATTTATTACCAAAAAAGACTTTTTTCATTTGAACAGAGAAGATTGAGTGAGAATCACAAGACAGAATTCACCCCATGGCTGTGGCAGTGACATGAATAAAAGAACATCACTGGGCAACTGAATGCATTGTACATGGAAGACAAGTAAATCGCAAACAGAGATGGCAAAGAGTGGCCTCTTATTTATGGATGGTGTTACCAATCAACATTAAACAATTCAATGAAATATAGAGAAAGGTGATCATGAACCAACTGAAAAATTCAACCTATAAAGCCTAGATGCCAAGCCTTGGGCCAGAGAGAGACATCCACTCCACAGAGCCTGGAATAAATTATGAAATTAATAAATGAAGAGGTAGAGAGTTTTGCTTTCTCTGGTCTGTGTAGACGTTGTACAAGCCCTCCTACCACTGTTCACAAGGCTCAGAAATTCTCATTCAATATCCACAATCTCAGGTTCCTCATGGAAGCCACTGGAGTTCCCATCATCATGTTGAGTTTCGCCATGGCAGTCATGGGAGCTACCATTATCTAGTGTTCTTCTTTTCTTGGAATGAACAGGAAGACCTTCCTCAGCTGCAGATGGCACTTTCCTCTTCCGACTTGGTGCCTCTTCAGTGTCCCACACTTCAGCATCCACTATCACATCTTCTTCGACTGGAAAACATGGGAAATGCTCTAATTCATTCTCAATTCTCAAGGTACATCAATAAAAATCCACGAAAGGGTGCACAAAAAGTTCTCATCCTTTTTTTAAATGCTTGAAAGACACACAAAGTGTGTTATGTTGTTGCTTCAAATGTTAGTACCATTTTCTGCATTTCTCATATTCTATTCATTACATTTTACATATAAAATACTTGATACTTCAGTCTTTGTTTCAAGCACTAGATAAAAAAGCAAAAATGGCTGTTAACAAAATGTTAATGGTTATAACAAAAGTTTTTGTGCATACAAGCAATGCAACAGTCTGCAAAACACAATTTTTTCACCACATTCTGAACTAAAGCGCGTTTTATGCTGTGTATAAATATATGTTGCTTTTTTTTTTTTACAAATTGCCGAATTTCTAAAAATTACAGCATTCAGAATGTGTGATGAAAAATCGTGCTTTGCAGACTGTTGCGTTATTTGTATGCACAAAAACTTTCATTACAACCTAGAACTTCATGGCTCTCTAGGGAAAGAATGCAGAAGACATCCATACCAAATAGGTAGATTCTTGTGAACAGTATGTATGTATTCTCCTAGAGAATGTTTGCAAGCTATTTCTGGAACGCTCGTACAAGCAAGTATTTTCAGTCAAGGAGCTTTAGGTTCATTCACATTCCAGCATTGAGAACATAAACTCTAATAAAAAATGTCCTATGTCCACTATGTCCACAAATATGGATGCAGTGTAAAAAAAGGTTAAGCAATGTGCCACTGTTTTCCAGAGTTAAATTGAGAAGAACTTTGAGTCAACCATAAAAAATCAATACTATGTACCAACTATATCCATGACTGGGAAGCATCTGAGAACAGAAATAATAAGCATACCATTCTGTGGCTTCTCCTCCTCTTCTTCTTTTGTTTTCTCTTCAGATGCCTCGCCATTTGCTTCAGCCTTTATCTGAGAAATGTCACCCACGATCTCAAATCCATCTCCTCCTCCCTCAGGATCAAACTCTGCTCTGTAAACAAATGAAGGTTTTTTTTTTTTAAGAGATAGGGACACTGATGGTCAGATGCATAACATATCACTTTACTGGTGCTGTTTTTGCTCTACACTGTTTTACTGCACTGATGTCATTAACAGCAAAAAATTCTGAGAATTATTCAAAGAGGAGGCACATGCACTCATTTCCTGGAATAATATTTGCAAAGAAACATACTTGTGCATGACAGTGATGACCAGCTGATAATTCTGAAGGAAATCATCACAGGCAAGGCGCACTCCACTGGCAATTCCAAAATGCTACAGGAGCACAAATTAGGTTTGAAATGATATGAAAAAAAATTGAAACCTCTGAAATGAGCCTTTCACACAAGAGTAAAAGAGTCAGGCAGGACCTGGAGGGTTTTGTCAAGGTTGGCTTCTGTTTCCCCCTCCTCACTTGAGATCAAGATAACTCCCTTCCCTTCCACCATGACATCAGGTGCAACCATGCTCAGTTTCCCCTTCAGCACCTTCTCTTCCAGGTCATGCACATGCATCTTCTCCACATTTACCTGAAGCACTACCTAATTGAAGAAATAGAATAAACAATGATATATGGTAACATCAACTTCACAAGTTAAAAATGAAGCAATGTCTCACCTTCAAGAATTGAACATTCTGGGTATGTCAGTAAGTGTGTGGGTACACTAAGTTAAAAAAAAAAACTTGTTCTCATTGGAACTTTCAGCTTATTTGAATAGAGTAATTTGTGGAAGTATAACCCTAAAAGGGGAAACTTGGTTTTAACAGTCCAAGATAAAATGTGACTTCTATGATATTCTGAAAATATTGATAGATGACTCCTTTATTCAATCCCAGCAAAACACATGCAAAAATTACATGGAAAATGTGTATTTTGGTCTGTTCAAAATTATTTCCAAGAGACCATATTACCCTTATTGTTGGGGGAATATGGCCAGGCATTAGGTGGAATACAGACCCTTCCCACCCAAGAAACTTAATCTTATAAATATAATGGGTTTTTTACATATTCACACATTCACTGCTGGACAAATAAAATGAGATCATCACTAGATTGCCTGCATTTTTCCAGGTCTGTATTTTAGAAACGTTTTAGAAAAAAAATTATTGGAACAAATCTACTAGAGCTACTAATGGAAATGTGCTCAGTAGACTTTAAGGGTTTGACACAGAGAGTAAAAGTCATTTGGATGCAATGACATTCCCCACAGAATGCATAAAATTAAAATTTTACTGTTGTCATGCTGCATGCACACTCAGGAGTGCATTGTAATTGTTTTGTCCTTTTCTCTGGGTGGGATGTACCGGCACCACCTTTGACATCTTCACACTGATCAGACAAGGAATCTGTGTCAAATTCAGGCACAAAATCAATATCAGCTACTGTAGCATTTGAAACGTCTCCATCTCTCACATGTTTCAAGCACATAGCTGTAACTTGTGGGTCCTTTGCAGGGGCTGGTAAGCAAAGTGTGGGATTGTGGGTAACTAGAGGAGTGGAAAAATTCAAAGTGCTATTGTGAGTGCCGGATAGTATCTGAGAAGAGCCCTGGATGCCAACAACATCACCTTTCATGCAATCCGTGGATGCTTTGTGAGGCTATACATGCATGACATTTCAAATTGACCTTAGTTGCAGATGGCATTCTTAGCAGGAGTTTTGTCCATAGTCAACTTTGGCAGTGAATGTGTGAAAAACACCTGAACATACAAAGTGCCTTGGAAACAACAAACAAGGCCACAAGCAGATGAAAAATACAGTATTAACTGCATTGAGCAAAAGATTATTAAAGAACAATGAAATGAATGCCTCCTGTATTATAGTCCCAAGTATGGTACATCTGATGCATATCCAGCCTTAATTTTTGTGCCTGCATACTTGCACATACATGCCATGGACATTCAACCAACACTAAAAGGAGCCTGGGAGTGGCTTGGTTGATTGCAATTATGGCTCCAATGCCAGAGGACCCATATTCAATAAAGGAGAAAATCACTATATTTTTTTCTTTCAAGTTTGTCCAGCTGAAATATGATTGGGATACACGATAGGTGTTAGGGCAGATGTGCTGTGAACATTGATTGAAGTTTGGACAAAGAAAGTGAGGCCTACCAACTGCCCAGCCATCTAGCCAGAAGGTCCCCACATTATCAGCAAGGTCACACCTAAATTGCTGATGTATGTTCTAATGATACTTGTGAAGCAATAAAAGTCTACAGTTGGTTTCAGACTGCAATTTATCTTTCCTTGCACATAGGTAAGGGGAAGAAATTTGACATTGTTAATGCACCTGCTGAGAGTGAAAACCCAATTGAAGGAGATCCCTGGCAATTCTCATGCAAAAGATTGTGGATGTACAGTTCACCTTGTGACCTGACTTCAGGTGTTGCTATGAGAAGCAGTGTTGTAATGTCTTTGGCTGAGTAGCATTGTGCATGATTAGGAAGTTGTCTAGAGATAGAGACTGAGAGTAAAGAGATGGGTATTAGATCACCCAGAGACCTAAGTGAACATGAGCAATATCTGCTAATGAACTAAAAGCTGGTAAAACATTTAAGGGTTCCTCCATATATACACAAAGATAATAAACAATAATAAGTATTTCTACTAAACCTTTGGACACATAAATTATAAAGAAGCTATTTGTTAGTATTCTTATCCTTGTAGCCAGTTTTAATATCAAACCCAAGCTTTTCCTGTTTCTGCTGATTGATAAGAGATCATAATGATAGTGGGGGATGGTCAAAGGGAAACTACTTTTCCAGAGCAATGCTACATGTGCTATGAAAGGTGGTTACTCTGTGAAACCACTTCAATGCAAGGAGTTAAAGTATGAGAAATAATCAATTGCATTCAAATTCCATGCACAAAACTTTCTGGAGTGTATCATGCAGATGTCCAGTGGATCTCTACAACAGACATCCAGTGGATGGGTAGAGAATGATCCCTTGATGTTTGGGGTTGCACAGAAAAGGAATACAGCACTGCTGATAGGTCAGTGCAGTGCTTCCATGAAATCAAGGTAGTGTCCATATTATCCCTAACTGAGGTGACCATATTCCTCCATGTTGACTTGTACGATAAAGGTGACGACACAGCTTGAAAATGGTTGGCAATTGAATGGTTTCTGTATCCATGCTGCTATTAGGAAGTATGCACTTGAGTTGCTCAAGGTTCATATTAGTTTCAGCATTATGAGTTGAGTGACTGTATCCAACTAACTTTCAAAATATTGATCAGATCCCATTTTCCTAAGCACATTGCATTGATGAATGGGGCATAACATTTAGGCTATTGCATATACTCTTCCATAGTCCTATTTAAAAAATTTGCCTAAAATTGGGCCTGATAGAGGAAATATAGTGGATAGCCATATTCCCCCAATTCATCCTATAATAAATGAAGTTTTAAAGGTAGTGTAACCATTAGGAAAAATATAGGAAGGAGGTGGGATACTACAGCTCTCACCCAATACTGATGATTTCAATACCAAATATCCAAAATTGTCTCCCACTTAATCAATGACATAAGCACAAACACTGTATGAATGAAGGGATCCTAACCTAGGTAACAGAACATTGAATCAACATTGATTGGATGTGGAATGAGTGTGTGAATGTTGAGGGTTGAAGGTGAACATTGTTTCAACGTTGATAGAATGTTGTCACATCACATTGCGTACAGGTAAAGGTAAATTCCGGGTAGTGGAGTTAGGCATAGGGTTGGGGTGTCTACCTGGCCTCAACCCCCCCTTGCAGATTTCCTGCCTACGCCACTGGGAGTCGCCGCATCTGCGCCGCGTTTGGCCAAGGTGCAGTTAATGAAAGAACAGTGCGACGATGGTTCAATCATTTCCGGTCTGGAAATTACAGCCTCAAGGATGAGCCCAGGTCAGGCCGCCCATCTGAAATTGATGACGAGAAGTTGCAGCACACGGTGGAAGCCGATCCGAAGCAAAGTACCCGCGACTTAGCGACAGCGTTTGGCTGCGCCCAGTCCACGATCATGACACACCTGGCTGCAATCGGCAAGAAGAGCAAGTCGAAAACCGGCTGACTGATTTTTTCAATTCACAGCCAGCTCAGTTCTACAGGGTTGGAATCAGGAGTCTGCCTGATTGTTGGCAGAAGGTGATTGACTGTGATGGCGATTATTTCGCTCAATGAACTTTTTTGCTTTTTAAATTTAAATTTGGTTGTATGGAATGTTCTCAAAACGGCCAGAACTTTCCGGTCGACCCAATATTTATGTAATACATTATACCATAAATATATACAAATATAAAGTATTCCATTATAAATATTTAAAATAAGTTAGGGCTGCACCAGCATATCGGCAACCACCGAGATTGCCCTCTGGCGTTGCACCATTGACGCCATAGCCATCGGTAAGGTTGCAAGCTGTGGATACCGATGCCTGATGGCAGGCAAAATTGAAAAAAAACTATGTGCGTGTGTGAACGCATCTTTGCGCCATCCTTCCTGTCTTAATGAAAGCCTCTCCTACCATCCTCTCCCAGGAAAAAAAAAAAAAAATTGGATTATATTTCATCCCGATTGTAGGAACTGGGGAGTAAAATAGCATGAAATCATTGCACCTCTTTTATGTGCATTAGCGAGAGGCACGGTTAAGCGCTCTTAACAGCAATAGCTAACAAGCTAATCACTGACCGCTGCAGACAGTGAGGCTGAAAAGGACTAAAAGTAGCCTGTATCGTTTTCAGCACTCATTGGTTTCACAAGGCTTTTGAATAGGCCTTTTTGAATTCGGATGCGATTTCATGCTACTTTCTTCTCACTCTAAAGACTTTCTAAAGACACTCTAATCAGCTCCGGCTCCGACACTGGCCGATGGGTATGAGTTCAAAATAGACCATCAGTCCACCAACCAAATGTGGCCATCGGTACAGCCCTAGAATGAATATAAAGATGATAAAATTCTTGAAAATTGGTAGTTCCAAATGGAACCTGTGGGCATGAAAGAGTTGAAATCAGACTGTCTAGCGAATTTTGTAGCAAAGTTTTGGGATCTATATGGGCCTGGGTTCTTCGCACGAACACAAGCTATGTCAATTTTCGCAGAAAACATGGAGCAGGCTATGGTAGTAGCATTAGGCCAAGTCAAGTAGATGACGCTTCCTATTTCTCTCTTGGGTGACTGGGTAAGGAGCTTGTGTCCCGTGGCATGGGGCCCAGGGGTGGATACTGAAATTTTTCATAGGGGGGGGGGGGGGGGGGGTTCCCAAGTTCCAATGGGGCCCAGGGGTGGATACTGAAATTTTTCATAGGGGGGGGGGGGGGGTGGTTCCCAAGTTCCTACCTGCCTACCACTATTCCTTGTCCTTTCACCTTTTTATTTTTCGTCTGAGGTAAGAACTTCAGTTTCTATTTCACTGGCTCCAATAAAATTTAATGCAGATGCAATTTTGAATAAATAAATCAAATGCTAACCTGGCCATGGGGGGGGGGGCAGTCGCCCTCCCCCCTCTCCCTGTATCTGCCCCTGATGGGGCCTGGGTTCAAACTTAGTTGAGTCAGGTGTGCATTTCATATTGCAAGTGCCAGCGTGTTTGGGAAGGGAGTACCTAAGCAAGGAGCGCTCCCATCTCTAGATATGGGACATTGAAGAACCGCGGCAGGGAAAGTAGAACCCAGGTGGTATATCACCACATTATGATGGCGGTTAAACCAAATGCGAAATGATTTTTTACCTCTATCACAGTCGATTATGCCTACATCACGTGCTTGTGATGGGTCGCAAGTTGTCACTGGGAGACACTGACTGTCAAACAGGGGTGAGGCTTCAGTGCCTTGTGGCCACTCCTAGTCCAAAGGGGGAAAATGCTTACAATTTCTGCATCCTAATGCTTCTTTCTATTTCCATGAAAATACAGTGGTACCTCGCATAACGAACGCAATTCGTTCCAGCGGTGCGTTCGTTATGCGAAACACAATTTCCCATAGACTTCTATGGGAAATCATGTAATCCATTCCATGTCGCCGCGAAAAATCAAGGAAATTAGGAAAAAATGTTTCACTTTCACTCGCGAACACCTCGCATAACGAACGCACCGCTGGAACGAATTGCGTTCGTTATGAGAGGTACCACTGTATATCATTTCGGCATTTTCAACCTTCTAGTGTTTTTCACTAGAGTCAACATTTTTTCACTCGACTTCGACCCTCATGCATGGGGAACGTCCCATGAACATGTGTCCGAGTCAAGTGAAATGTTACTTAACTCAAGTGAAACTAATGAGAGAATTTTCATCATTCACTATACATATAAATATTTCAGATGTCCTTTCAATATCAGTTATCGGCAGGTCATATATTGTTTCAGGTTGATACATCGCATTCACCCAATATCGGCTGATACTGATTACCGATAACATATTGTTGCATCTCTACTCATGACACGAAGTTCCAGAGAACCCTACACTTACTTCATTCTTTGGTGAGCAGACATAGCACTTGGGATTGGGCTTGGCAAGTTTCTCAGGAAGCATGAGCTTCTTTGTCAATGCATGGGCTGAGCGATTCAGGGCCACCTAGACAATACAACAAGAGGAATATACCATAGTGACTACACAATTATCACCATTCAAGTGACATGGCATTCCCAAAGATAGACTCAAAGGAAACATAAAAATGGGATGGGTTATGAATTAGGGTGACATGAAGGTTTTTGAAAGCTATAAGATTGCATTAACATGATCAATATGTACCCAACAGTCAAAATGTATGCTAATGTAAGTAGTGATGATTAGATCCTATAGAGCAGGTAAAAACAAGAAAATGAAAATCACATTAGGCTATGAAACTCTATTAATGGGCCTAAAGTGGAGCTTTATTAGGTCATTGAATAAGATATGACAAAGAATTGAAATCAGAACATCCCATAATTAGCTTTTTTTTTATCAGATTCCTTTTGCCTTTTCCATCAAAGTTTCACCAACAATGAAATCTGCCAGCATTTTGCTTGCCCGTAGGTATGCACTTCAATTTTAATTTTAATACAGGTAATTACTTCTTGAATTATCATTGGAAAATATGAATGGGAACATGAACAGACATACAAGGGGCGTTCAAAAAGTTTCCAGCCCAAGACTCTTCCAGTTGCAATGCACTATTATTACTTTGTTCATGGGAAAACATATGTATTTGATGTGGACTGGAAAAATGTTCATCTCATTTGTAAATGATGGGCAGCTTCTATGAATTTATTTTTCAATGTACAATCAAAGGGTTGGCTGAAGGAGTATTAAAATGGAGACTAATGCTGTTATGAATCTTCCAAACTTGAATTCATCTATCTTCTAGCAGATCATTTAGGGGAGGGTCAGTAGGACACTATTCTCTCAGCCACAGGAAGATCAGCCAGAATATCAACTCCTTCAAGGTTAGAAAATTAATCACAGAACTCATCTCAATTTCAATGCCCCTTATATATTATATGTATTATAAGTCGGGATTCACGGAGTGGAAAGTGCATTGGTAGGTCATTGAAGTCGGTCAAAGTGTTCGAGCAAGTGGAATTTTGGCACTACTGCCGCAGGTAAAAATTCATATCTCATCAAGTCATTAAGTGCCAATCTCGATCTTGGTATCGTCAGAAATGGCATACCATGCACCTTTAAATTAAATATTGGAACAAAGAATTCCCAAGGTGGCAAGTATCGATATTGGCCACTGAACTTGATCAAACTGTTTGATATAGTGGAACATCTTGTTTCAGATTAGGAGGATAATACTTGGAATCAATTTAAAGAGGGAAATCTCATGATTAAAATGACTCCAAAATGAAGCTTATATCTTAACTAGAGGGGAAGTTATTGCAGAAGCAGTTTCACAATTCCAGTCGGTATGGGCACTGGGAAGGAAAATTAGGTCACATTAAAATGCATGTATCTGGAGATCTGTGGGAAAGATAAAAAAAATTGGTTGAAATCGTATATCTTTAAATCGATTCTTCTACGTGTATGGCAATTTTGGTCAAAATCTGAGATGGTCGAACTTTCTCGCTGGTCGATTTAGCGTGGAATGACCCTTTTCTACTATTTTTTTTATAGTGGTCAAAATGACAGCTCAGGTACTTCCAGGTATATATGTACCCCCAGTACTTCTAGTGTTAAGTCCTACTAGTGTCAAGTCCTATTTTTTGGAAGCTTTCATTTGAAAACACCTCTCTAAGACCTGCAATTAGGAAATTTTGTCATAACTTTTCCTTGGGTGAATAACAAGTTATATTAACATTTTCTGGAGTTATTTTGGAATGGTAAGGGAGAGGTAGGGACCTAAATTGTTGAAAGTATCTCACCATGACCAAAAACAAGCAAGAAATGCAATTTTTAAAATATTTTTGTTGTTTCTTGAACTTACAACTTTACAAATATTTGAAGGTTTGCATGAAACAATCCCACTGCATTGATGCCTTCATAATTTCCATATTGAAAATCGTATTTATTATAATGTAGCGAACTATAAGATCCTGCACCTGTTGCACAACAATGCTGGTCTGGAATGAATTTATAAATTATGCTCTCCAAAGAACCTCATTTTTGGATAGCATTGCTTGGTGGAATACCTGATCCAACTGAACACCCGAGACCAAGATAAGACAGTTTAAACTATACAAATGTATCATTTAATTGCAACTCCACTATACAGACACTGCATCATAAACACAGCAATTGAAGACAATATGTATGCTACATAAAACAGATGACAGAGAGACTCACATTGTGGCAAAAGTGCCAGTTTCCCTCTAGGATATGCAGAGCCTGGAGGACAATGCAGCCAGCAATGATGGCATTGGATGTGGCTATGGCTGGAATGATGTTCCCTGCCATTGCTACAATGAACCATGCACCAAGAGCAATCACAATTAGTGTTGTAACACTTTGTGTGGAGTTACTGAGATGAGACTTCTTCAAGGTTCATACTGCAATATATTCACCATTATTTTCTGCACCAACATTGACACCCTATACATCCACCTTTTGGCAAATTGGATCCTACCAAATAGGAAAAATTGTTTGCCATTTAAATTTTTGAAAGCATGTAAATGCTATCAGAATGCTAATATCTCTAACTTTAAAATATTCTTTAAAGCAATGTTAAAGGATGGATGTTTTTCAATGCTGGGTCATTAGTGTCCAAGGACTTTATTATTTCTTCCCTTCTATGTCAAATGTAGAATAAGGCCTACTAACGTTTATGTAGGTCTGGTCCTATATAATGTGGTTTCACTTCTGACAGCCACTGGGAGCTATCTGTATCAGAATCTTTATTGGCTGATATAAAGACAGAAAGATACTGGAATTGGTATTGGAGGCTAACCTGGGATCAGTGCATCCCTACTTGTAATGGTACAGAAGTAAACCTGGGTAAGAAAAAAACAACTCACATTTAACATGAAAGCGACTCTTCTCGGGAATGGAGAAAATATGGGAGCGAAGATTAGCACAGGCAGCAACAAAATCCATGGCCACATCATCATCCTTGTCCCAAACCAAAGTATTGCCACCATCTCCCCTATCTGAGAGCCTCTTATGTAGCTCCTTTACACACCGTTCAAACACCTCTGCACACTGCGACATACTCCATAGGACTTGGTCACTGTTATGAGTGTCTCGACTGCTCCCAGCAGCTAAGGGAAGAATATTAATGCACTACTTCAGAATGCACTGTATATCAACGTTAAGCATTATTGTATTGTCAGTAAATAATAATAAAAATAAGCTAAGAACGTGTTCCAAAATGCTCCAAATGCTAACTCCATTGCCATAGCAGCTCATTATAAATTTAAATTCTAGCAATATTGTTTGCCTAGCTCATTGATGCCTTGCCAAAATGTGATTGCACTGCATGCAAGTCAGTTTGAAATATGATAAAAGTCAGGGAGAATGAACCAGCATCGGGAAGGTTATCCCAAAGAAGAGGACTGGGAGGGAGGCGACCCCGCTTCTCCCAGAGATCCTTCATGGAAAGCAGGTACTCAATATCCTCTTTGAAGAGCTTTGTGAACAACTTCTTTGGATTGTATCCCTGCATCTCAGCCCATCGGCGGGTGGAAACTCGTACCACATTCCCTGAGGGATATTCCATTTCTTTAGAGTCCTGCACTAATCATACATAATGTCACAAGGCCTTTTATCAACTCACCAGCATCATCTTGCTGGGCTTTCATGGCTTCTGTAGCAGCTGAACCAGCTAATTCAGGATCAGCAGTATCAGGTGAAACTTCTTCATCCTCATCAGCTTCACCAAACAACTGACTGAATAGAAGAAAGTTTAAGCTAATTAAAAGCCTTATTACATGCTTACTTTCAAATTATACTAAATTAAAACTGTCCCAGCTTCTTTAGCCTCCATGAAAGCTAGATTTTGGTAAAGCTGCAACTGATACATAATCACAGTAATAGCAAAAAAATGGAATTGCTATGTCTAATAGATGCAGAAACAGTCTCACTAATTTTTAGAAAAAGAAAACAAAATCAAAGAGATCATCCAAAACTCACTTGAAGAGGTGTTTGGCCCAAACAATACAGTGTATAGGCTCAGATGGAGTATTGCGGATGGTGCAATTTGGGAAGGTCTTTTGGGGGGCTTTTGGGGTACACTCATAGCATTGGGAGAGTCCCTTCTTGATGACCTGGACCTGACCCATGAACCCAGCAGTGCCACTCTCAATGAGGGGAATGTCGGCTGCAAGGCACATGCGATTCACGTGGCTCCTTGCTCCTTGGTTGTCCAATGCATTCATGACAACATCAAACTTCTTGAAGTATTCCAGGCCAAACTCTGAACTGCAGAAGTTGGAGTAAAACCAACATTTTGAGTAGTAATTGCCTGCTATGGGTGACAATAATGCATTTACCAACTCAGCAATACAAGTTTGGAAGAAAGAAGGCAACCATAAGTCATCCCTTCAAGAGTAATTCCTTCTAACCAAATGCTGGTGCTTCATTGCTGTGAACTTCCTAGCCTTCTCATGGAGCACTTAGGTTCTTTCTTAACAATACCACAAAGTTAATATCTGCCATAACTTTTTTCCTCACAAGCAACCATATGAGATCAGTTGCCAAATAGCCATGTCCAATTCAGAACTCCACAATAGCATGCTTCTTACTGGAGATGGAAGCAATGCATACCTCACTCTTGACAATTCTGAAAGACTGTGAGTAGGTAGATCTTCTACATTAACTCAGCAATTGCTAAAAACTAAACCACTTCATGGTTGAGTCATGCCACAAAGTCAGCCAGACTCTGCAAAGGTGAGTCCATTCATAAGAAAAAAAACCCATTTCATGACCAGACCAATAAAGCACTTCATTAGTTGAATATGAATTTTGCTGCACTACCTTACAAAATAAAGAGTTCGGTAAAACTTTCATGAAGGTCAAGCATGGCAGTTGGTATGAATGAACTGCAATATTTTGAAACTGCTGCCAAGAACAGGTCGTTCGTCATGAAATCCAAGAACAAAAAATATATTTCAACACTGAGCAGACTTGAAAAAGGTCCAGGAGTTTCTGCTATAATGGTGTTTGTTGACCTTCAATTTTATAACATTTTAGTGCAGAAGCAATTCAGTTATAATTTCCCTAAAAGGTAGTTACTGTGGTTAGATAAGTCAAGATATAACTCTTGCATTCAAATTAGCTACTTTCAAAATATAAAGATGCACCATAGCAATAAAATCAAGGACTGAAAGCCCGGTACTTTAGTCACACACAAAAAAACAAATTTCCAGAGCAGTGTTATTCCACTGGTACCTCATTATTCTAGATTAATCTGATAGGTTTTAACCAAGAGTAAATGATATAAAACAATGCCTGAGAAAGAAAATCCCAAACCATGCAATTTTAGATGTATTGGAGTACAGGGCTGCTAAGAATGGAACTTGGTGAAGTAAGACTTCAGAAAAGAATGGAAGAATTTCAACTTTTAGGGGAGGGATTATCTATGGGGAAGGCCTACATTCCACTATGACTCTTACTAGACCCACTTTTAAGTGTAAATATACCTCAGCATACCCCTCACCTCATAATGGTGCCATGGTGTGCTGTGATCCTGACATTGGGGTTAAAAGCCAGAGCACTCTCCCTGGCAACCTGCACTTTTGATTGCCCCACATGCTGCTTGTGGAACAAGAATTGCCGATTCAAGTTGCTCACATCAATAGTGTCCAGGTCCACCTGACAACATAGACAATGTCACCAGCTTATCCAGTCCCTCACTCTGACATCATTCTTTGGCATCACATTTACCAAAACATAACTTTAATGCAAAATTGGTACAATTTATCATTTAATATCAACATACCATTGTACAAATAATGATCCAGCAACTTATCCAATATGCCTCCTGTAATGTATGCTAGTCCTGTTAACCCTTTATCCTAGCAGGGATGTCCAAACATTTTTTGAGAATGCTGGCATAATATTATGCCAACACCAGGGAAAGAGTTACAAAATGCTAGACAGGCATTGAACTTCCTTTCCCCCTCATAAATATACAATGCTAGATCTACAATACCTCTAACTCTTATTTCATTGGAAGTTCACTAGACAAGTTCACTCACAATCTCAATATCTTGGAATCCAGCAAGGACAAGATTCTTCAGTAATTCACAGCCAACACCTCCAGCCCCAACGACAAGAACTTTGGCTTGGTGCAAGCGAGAGGAGAGCTCTGCATTGAAGGAACCAGTCACTGCCTCTGTCACCATTCTCACCAATGATAGCAAAAGTAGAGGTATTGGCTGGTTTATGTGATCCACGAAGAAAATTCTTCAACTAAAAATGATGCGATACAATAAAGTCATTAGGTGAAGAACATACTTGTAGAATGATCAGCCACATGCAGTCACAAGATTAGATACTGTACTATGTTTGTAGAATAAACAAACGAAATCATATTTTGCAGACCAAGTAACAACAAATACATTCTGAGACACTTTGTACATTCATCAAAACTCAAAAAAGAGAAGTCAATTTATTACAAAAAATTAACAACTATTCTCAAGAAAAAGGTAACTTCAGTGGTACACTGTCTGAGAAATTCCTCATATAAGGGGTTAAAAAGAGTAGGGAGAATCTTGTATGAATCCTATGTCATTCCAACTTTAGCCTGCTATGCATTAGCATACAATTCAGAATTTTAAAAATTAGATATCAGACATTTGGAAAGGTGGGATCTCAGAGCACATCTCCACAGGGTTGCAACTGCACCCTCCAGTCATTAAAGCCCCTAAAGCTGAATCAGGACCACAAGTATTGTGCAGATGATGGCACATTAGCCAATCACAGAAAAGATGGCATTGCTTTGCCAAAAGCAAAGCATGGTTTCCTTCATACAACCCCCTTCTTCCTGAATTTTATGAGTGGAATTAGGAGATATTGCATAATTAGCTCCATTCATCACAAACTTTGAATTCTGGGGATAATTCAGCAAGCCTGATAATCTTACAACTACAAGTTAATATATCAAATATATCACACATATTGACCTGAAGAGGGATGAACATATAACTAAATCCCAATGTTCGCCAGAATTTTCAACAAGATTAACCTTGAGTTCCTAGGCTACTTACACTGACCAATACTTTCCCAGTTGTTTTTGGTTATAATTTGCTATGCTATAAATAATCCAAACTTCCACTTTAGAATTTGTGCTAAAAGAAATTCAGGGCAGAATCTTGCACAATGTTTCAGGGAAGAGCTACCAAGATAATAACACAATAGTATTACAGTTAATTTTGAGACAATAAAGTAGGGCTAGTAAAATAGTTAGCCATAATAAATCAATATCAAAGAATGCAAGAGAACTTCTAAATAAAGCCTGAGATAGCAGTCACCACTCATTATGAGTTGACTTAAATTAAAAAAAAAAGGTTACTAAAATTGGACCAAGCCATTTTCAATCTGGGAATTGTGAAGATCCACACTGAAAGCAGACAAGTGCACATTCCCTCTCTCCAGACAAGAGCCTTTCTGTGCACAGACAGCAATCCTCTCCCAACATCCTAGCTTTGTCCCGAGGACAAATATACCCAGGTATAATACTTGGAAGTCCTGCTTGTTTGTTAGACTTGCACAGCAAGAGCAGGACACCATTCCAGCATCAATTGGGAATGAAAAACAAAAACATATACAAATTTGGATGTAAGATGAAAATAACTTTTGAGCAGCATGTGGGGATAATTATTTCTCCAACCAGGATGGAGAGATTCTCATCTCCACAGTATGTGACAGAAAGTTTTCCATCTTTCTGTCACATTCATGACATTATGTATCAAGGTTGCTAAAGTACATATTCATGACTGTTCATGTCAACCTAAGACATACAAATGAAAACTTCTAATGAAGTGGGATGGCTTCCATTTGGCTGTGTGTTTTCAGGTTCAAATTGTTGCAGATGCTATCAATAAAATCAAGAGATGGAGTTCTCTGACCCTTTCCCAAGAGCCTGCTGCATCCCACCAGGGGGAAAAGGGACTCCCAAGTGTTATACATTGGGATGGATGGTATGGGATTAAATCTGAGAAGTATGGACAAATAATCACTTCCTGACCTAGGAATCAAGTATACAAGTGGTGACTAATCTCAGAGTCTACTATCCCCTGCCCTGTGATGGAATATCCTACTCTCAAGCTTTACTTCTGACTTCTACATCCGTCTATAGACATTTCAAGCAAGAAATAAAAATTTGAGAACATTTTCTAAATACAGTGAAAACTCGTTAACTCGAACTCTTAGGGACCAGGCAAATTGTTTCGAGTTATCTGAAGTTCGAGTTATCAGGAATCGCCCCCCCACCCCCCCAAAAAAAATCACGTTAAGGGACATAGGGAACAGAATGGCTTGGAGTGAGAGCGACAGCTTGACAGAGCAAATGTTGGAGGCTTTTTTATAGCTGAAACTTTTCAGGTTTAATCCTCTCCACAGGTGTCTGTGTGGGAGGAGGGAGAAGCAGAAAAAAAAAACAAAAGAAACAAAAGAGCATCCTCCCGAACGGGTTTCTTGTCATTCATTCTATTCAAAAATCAAAAAGTCCCACGAGAATTTTTCCCCCCTTCTCACCCGGAATTCGAGTTGACTGTGAGAAAATCACTAGAGGGAGTGAAAATTTCATTCGAGATATCAGGAAATTCGAGATAAGCGAATTCGAGTTAAACGAAGCTTTTAACATGGTGTCCTACGGGGTTCCGCCGGGACCAAGCATTGAACGTCGAGATAAGCGGAATTTAGACTTATCAGGATTCGAGTTAACGAGTTTTCACTGTAGTTGCATTAATGTGCATGGAGGAGTTACTTGATTTTTGCACTAATGCAAACTCAATGAAGGCACTCATATTAAAAATCATAAAAAATATAGACATATGGTATCATTAGATTCTTTGTGAAATGGAATACCACATTATTCCTTCTGCTCTTGCAGGCCTACTTGCGACTATCCTCTTGCATCTGAATGATTCCAATAAACTATAGTAATGGCAACACATACAATAGTGACAGATACAAGGAGATACAGCCAGCCCCTAGGGCAAGAAGCTGATTAAGGTGGTGAAAAAAATGGTCACCATGTAATCTAAATATAAACTGGATGAGGCAATGTCTAATGCCAAGTCCAGTTTAGGCATTTTTTTCTGGTTGCTGATGCTTATCCATATATGACAAGACAAACAGAGGTTAATAAGCATATTCAATCCCAATTCAAACATCCCATGTTTTTGGAATCAATTCATAGGCATCTCATCACATACAGGTATGACCTTCACATGCTTCTCCTCCACTTCATCCAGGAAAAGGACAGAGAAAATTTCATTGAAGAAGTCAGGATAATATTCACAGGCCCTCTGACAATCAGGGGACCAGTTCACCTCCAGTAGTTGAGGTTTCATACACCTCTCACCTGTGGCCAGAATAAAATATTCTTATTTTCATTGCCTCAAAAGGGTCAAGGCAGCCTTCAAGAATACAATCTTTCTCAATTGCTCTCAAACCAATTGCTATATATTCCATTAACTTAAGGGATCCTTTACTGAGAGTAGAGCAGATGTGAACCATTTACTCCATTAAACTTAGACTCTTTCAATAAAGGTCATAGTTCAAAGTGACTAAGTTCTTGAGTATCCTGAGAAATCAGACCTACTTTATTCCTCATAAGGAGTGAGTCACAATAGACAAAGTTCATGGTCGTGACTCATGATTGCAATTGAAATGTAAATCACAATATTTACCTTCATACACTTCCGTCAGTCTGGCAAATTTAGCTATAAATTAGAGAGGAAAGAGGCTTCCACCTGTTTGAGACTCCTTCCATGTCAGCATGAGGTCAATTGCATACATGGCACGAGACCGGGGGGAAGGTGAAATGCCTGCAGGAGGTGCAGCACGAGTGGCACCACAGAAAGCCTCTCCAATCATCCGGAAAATCTCCACCTCCAACTCCTCCCACTTGTATGGTGCGTTTTGCTGCTCAAACTCTTTCACAAAGTCTTCACAGAACATCTGGAGTGGAAAATTCAGTCCTCAGTCCTTGATATTTAAATATGACTAACTTCAAGAACAAGAAAATCTCTAACTTGCTGGAGTGGTGCCTCAGTGTAGTTCATAACAGTAAAATGTTTCTCATACTCATCCAGATGATCCAAACTGAAAGTTTTATTAGCAAACCTCAGCCAAAATCGCTCATAGGCATATATGAGCAAGGGGTTCACACTTCTCAGGAGGACAATGTAGCGGATGTCAAATTTTACATGTCCAATGCTTGGGCGGAGGAAGAGAACTGGATCATGGATGTATTTCTGAGCAAGCTTGGGTCCAGAGAAGGGGAGACGGAGGATGTGATCGAGGTTGGCTGTGACGTGAGTGTCAAGACTTCGGGCCAGGTTCCAAGGCTTTACAATCCAATGATTGTCTGCACCTCTAACAAACATGACATGGTAGAAGAATGTCAAAATCCTAAGGAAAATAATAAAGTGAATAACTGATTAATCAGTTTCATTCCCAAAATTAAAAATAAATCACTGTACAGGTGTCCAGTCCACAGTTTCAATTGATCCTAAACTTGCTTGATCTAATTATTTTTTCCATGAGATAATCATCCAGCACCAGAGTTAGCAAAATAATTTATGCCAGACAAAAAGGAGCAATACATAAATAAAAAAGTTTACTTGATTTTCAGATGTAAATGTTTATTTCAGGTTTAGAAGGGAAATTATGCATACAACAAATATTCAATTAATTGATTGATGTTTGTTGACCAAGCCACCAATGAATTGAACTTGTACTTCAAATTCAACCATGTTTTCTATTTATGCCATGGTCACCCAATCTCAAAGAAAAAAAAACTTAAAGGGGAATCACAACTATCTGCTCACCTGGCAGCTCTCCTCTGAAACAAGGACACAAATTGAAGTAGTTCTGTATTAAGGTTGTATGTCAGGGGAAGCCAACATGGGCTGGATGAAAGATCATCCTTTTCATTGGTCTTGCTCATGCGTCGACACACTATGCACAATAGGTCCTTGATGGTCATAACTCCTTCACATGGGAACTGGTTCACCAGCTGGGCCCTCTCCTTCAGTTTACTATTAGGGAACATTTGGAAAAATTTTGTGAGGAGTACAATCATCATGATCATATATGACTATATAAATATCAATAAATAAATCAAAAGCTCTGCCAGGCTTTATAAAATAAATATGGAATATCCAGCATTTTTTCCAGAAAACACAAGGCATTCCATCAAATAAAACAAGAAAAAAAAGGAAAACAGCACACTACTCGCAGGCTTTTTAAACATTAACCCATCACACCCTCTACACATGAAGTGTGACCAAGAAGTTCTAGGAATGAAATTTTTGAGTCTGGCAAAATCACAAAAATTATTGTCAGGTTTTGAATTAGTATATTAGACTGTTGGAAAGTTTTGTGTAAATCCTCACCTAACTAGCCACATGAATGAGAGATTGACTGGCATTGTAGCAACTCAGTGTGTAAAGCATCTGTCATATTCCCAGAGTGAGGAATATTTCAAGTTTTGTCTCAAATTGGGGAATGCAGATGCAGCAATCCATCAAATGTTGCAATTGACAAGTTACCTTGCCATGCTTCAAGAATTTTGAATAGTTTTCATGGCTTTCAGCAAGTAGAGAGGACATTCATATCCAAACAACCCCAACCACCACTAATCATTCACCCAAGGGATGGTCACACCAGTGGCCATCCCTTGGGTAGGATGTGGGATGATGGCCACATCATCTTCAATATCTTCTCTACTTTCTGAAAGCCTTGAAAGCTGTTCAAAACAGTCTATTAAACCAGTTCATAACATGAAAATGATTTTTGTGATGTTCAGTCCTGGAACTTCGTTACACCTTGTATTTCCCTTCTCAGTGTAGTTTCCTTTCTCCAAATACCCAATCTCTCAACTATTCATGTCTCTTCTAACAAATTTGAGGTGACTTTTTATTTAACTCACTTGAACTCTTTGAAGTGATAAGATAACCACAAGATCTGGGCTTCCTCGGGACTATCCACAAATATGAACTTCGGATGCTTTAAGTACTCCCTGATGAAGGAGTATTCAGCATATACTTTTATACCACTTTCAGGCAAAATGATGCTCTCTGCATCTTCTGCAACTGGGAGGTACTCTTCTCTCTTGTAAGACTAAAAACAGAAGGAGCAATTATGATTAAAAGGTAGGCATTCATACTCTGTCTACTTGTCCTTCATAGCACAATAGCATCACAGGGAAAGTTGACAAATGTCAGTCCTTCCTACACCACAAGTGATGGTAAAGATTACTATGAAGTTTCTGATTCTAGTCTTTCCTGTTCTGGAATTTCAGTAATAAATGAGCAATTCACATTTTAATAGCAAAAATGGAACACTAGGATGATCCACAAACAAGCAAAACTATGAGGAAAGCAACATGAAATGTTACCTGATATATGTGGATCTTGCAAATTAAATTTCAAGAAAGTACAAAGTCATGTTCATTCTTTTACTTAAAAAAAAAACTACAGAACCAATAGTCAAAGATATTAAAAGTGAATAAAAAGTACAACCCTACCTTTGGGTCTGTCAGGAATTAGTTGTGTTCTACTCAGCACATCACACCAACAGGGAAGGAGCTAATGTATCCTTTACTCCAGTTCTGTCTTTTTTTTGTTTTATATACCATGATGTATCATGGTAGCTCAGAGAATGTTTTCAATTTACTTTTTCAATAGAGGCTATATCTATGACCTTCAAGGATCTACAAAAGCCACCTTGAAGAAGTCCACAGCAGGCTCCTCTTGTCTGGGGTCAATAGAAGTGAAGTCATGGTTGGGGAACCAAGGGAGCATGAGTGCCCTGCGGACATGTGAATCTCGGAAGGGTCCTTCCACATAATCCCTGCATATCTCCTTCCCCATTTCAATATCACAGATTGGGAAGAGCAAAGAATATGCCAACCCCTCTGGGATGTATAGAAAGGGGATCACACGAACATTGGGTGAATCTGAGTGCTGGATACGAGACCCAAACTCATCCATCACATACCAGACAGGCATTTTTTCTTCTGTCTCCAGTCCTGGAGATGCTAAAAAAAGAAGAAAAAAAATTTGAGAGGGGGGAGAGAAATAAGCCAATGTGCACTTTAGGCACATGCTACATATTCTTGGTCTGAATTTTGCTCAAAATTATCAAAATTCTCTGTGTAAGGCATTAGGGCATTTTCTATGTCACGATTAAACTTTTTGTTTAGGATTTTTTTTGTTGCTCAGAACTACCTATAACATATGGAAGACAGAAAGTGAGCTCTGCTGAATGCAAAAACAAACCCAATAATAAAGTATTCAAAACCACAACTCAACTGAGCCAAAAGGAGACCAGGATTTACTCTATAAAATAAAATTGACACCTGATAGTAGTATCTAAAAATGTGCCTTCATACAATTCCAACTACCTATATTGTAGGTTCCATTAAAGAGCCACATTTTTTGGAGAATGTCTTCAATAAGAGTCTCTTGATTCCCACTTGGTTCAAAATCCATAAGAGCAGCCATTCGTTCAAGAAGTCCTGGCACTTCTTCCAAATCCTTCCTGGCACTCCCAACTCGACATGTCCATGCATGGTCTATCAAGAAGACACTGCACAAGGTGAGCAAGGGAGACATTAATATTCAACACACCAATAAAGGGGCTTATACCTATTAGAGATCACTAGCAAGCCAGAATGACTCTCACACATATGGCATGCTTCTCATGGCTAAAACTTGTCTCCATGAAAATGCCAATGATATGCTATTCTCTTGTTTATTGATCAGGAATCCAAATTAGTCAAATGATGAAGGGTTTTTTATACCTAATTAACTCCAAATGATACTGATGCATATGCTCCTTCCAGACTTTCTTCTTTAATTCCACATGTAATAATGAGTACTTCATAATAATGATTTCTGGGGAAGAAAATGAAATGATTTAGACTAGCAAAAATTACCTGTCATGTTCTGAGAAAATAACTGATATGACAGGGATATAGGAAAAATTAGTCTTGATTCAGACAGCACTGAAGCACTGAGATGTTTACAAACTGCATGAACCTATATATATCACACTACTTATGTTTCTTCTCAACTAATATTGCATGGGGTGAATGCAAAGTGGAACATTCTGCCAAATGAAACAAACTTAAATTGTTTTTCTACTTTTGACACTAAATTCATTCTCACCAAGTACAATCAGAATTCATACATTGCATGGAAGTGACAAACTGACCTGAGCATCTAAGTATGTAAAATTTGCAACTACTTTGTTGTTCAACTTCATCATTCCACCTCTACTTCTAGAAAATCATGGCTTTAGTTTAGGAAAATTGGTAAATTTTTACCTAATGAATAACCATGGTTCACAAGCATGTAGACATAAATTAAATAAATTTCATCCTTGTCACTAATTCATGTAGAAACATAAATTTCTCTTTAAAAAGGGGGCCTCAACTCTTGGACCATTTACCCTTGTCCATCTCATTTAGCACAATCAGGCCTTCCAAACTTTACAAGGGTGAAACTGCATGATGCTTGGGTGACTGTTTTGAGGAGAATCTCCATAGAATCCATATTGAATCTTCTTAGCCAGTTCCATCACATTTCCATCTTAAGAACCATTACATCAACAACAGAATCCAAGGTTTCCAATATATGCACCTCACTTATATTAAATTCTAATTGATTATTGGAGGATCATTTTAATCTTGGTACTTGCTCCCAATGGGGTCGACCTTCTGATCCATTCTTTGTTTGGTTCCTGACCTTTTTCTTTCTTTTCCTCGAGCCATCTTACATTTTTAAATCCCCTTGAGATGCCCTATTGCCAGATCCCTTGAATGACTACTAGGAAAAAGTACAGAATTTATTTTTCTCCATCTTTTCATATGAAACCCTTAATAATGTCATAGTTAAACAGAAGTGATAAGTCTACAGAGCTCACATGAAACAAAGCAGAAATTCATTTGAAAATCACAGAAGAGAGATGGGTACTGGTGGACCATAGGCAATGTTTCTAGCATACCAATAGATAGCTGACTGCCCTCTGGTGATATATACAGGACTATAGGAGACTGATCCTGCCTCTGTGAAAACAGATAATGCCAAAAGAAGTTGTACATCATGGCACAAGGGCCTCACCAGTAATGTAGCTTAGTTAAAGGTGTGTGCGTGTGTCAGCCATGAAGCATAAGCAGGACTGTGTGGGTAATGGCATGCACATAACATAGAATACCCAAGCTTCTTTTAAATTACCCATGCTAATTGGCAGGCATAGCCAACAATAATATTTCTTAAGGAACAGAACAAAACAGCCATTCATTTTAATTTCTTGCAGTGTTTTATTTTTGGCAATTTTCAGCTCTGGTGAGGTTATGTAGGTCTACTTGGCACACATAACTTGCCCCCTACATTCAATCTCATAGTCTTCAAAATCCCAAAGGATGAAGAAAAATAAATACTGCAATTCATCTCAATTCAGTTGCAACAGAGATTTCAATCAAAATTTGAATTCAAGAAACTAATCATGAAGGTAGATCTAAATGAAAAATTCAATTTTTAAAATCCAAAAAATGATACCCCTAAAATTCCCAGCCATACAGGACACTTTCATGTTCTCTTTCTCAGGTATCTTTCCTGTCAATGGCAATATTTTCATGGTTACACCCAGAAATACAACACAAGGAAAATAGAGATAAGTACTGAGGAAACTTCTTGCTTAGAACTTTAAGAGACTGATTGCTTTGAGTTATCCAGAGTTTGACTTATCATGAATTGCCTCTATCCCCCCCAAAAATATCCCAAGTTAAAGAATATACCCAAAGGGTGTATTTTTTTCATACTCAAAAATCCAATTTCAAGAAGTAATGACATTTTTATTATCATAGATTCAGCATTAAGGAAACATAGATACTCTATATGAAAAATTCATTCATAACTGTGCTCTTCATCTGTTACTATTACAGTTATATCCCTAGCTAGAATAAAATTAATCATCATTTGCTTTCTAAAGGAATCAGCAATTGAGAATTGGAACTCTTCCAACTTGCCAATCACTTGAAACAAGTGGACTGGTGCTTCCCCTTATGAGAAGAGGAATTTTCTCACATCCAACAATGCTTCTTTGGCATTGTTCAAAAATGCCAGTGGAGCATTGTACGTCACCCCCTGCTCCTCATAACTCTCATTCCTGGGCTCATGTTCATGTGAGTGATTTTTTATGTTGGCATTGAAAGATGCCACAGTGACAGGCTTTGTCACTGAGGTATCCATTTCACTCCATTCAAAAAATTAATAAGTCCCATAAATTAATTTTTTCCTTCTTCACACCAGAATTCAAATTAACTTCAGGTAACCATTAAAAAAAATTATAATCAGGAATGAAAACTTGTTTTGAGATAAGTGAATTCTAGTTTCCACAGAGGCTAGGCACTGAACTTCAAGAAAAGCAGAATTTGATTTATCAGAATTCAAGTTAATGGGTTTCCACAGAACTTCTGTGGCCTTAAAATAAAGATAAGGCCTATTCTAGAGAGCTGTGTAGGAACGAAAAATCAACACATACTTTAACATAGGTAAAAGCATTGACTCTGAGCTAGGATGCCAAGAGTTCTTACTCATTAGGATGATGCACAGATACTGTGTGCTCCCGGACAACTAAAACCTTCCATGCACATTTCTTTTCTTCCATACTATCTTCATCTTGCTCTACCTGCATCATTGCAAAGGTCTCACCAGCATCAAATACCTGGAGAGGGAAAAACAACAAAAACTTGGAACAAAAACCTTGAAAAATAAATTATTTTTTTCATACTTGTGACATCCTGCAAAATTGTGACCTCATCATACAATGTAATCAAACAAATTTTAATAATATGTAATTACATTTATAAGATCAACTTACAATTTCATTGTCATGAATGGACAAAGGGAAAAAAAGAAAACCAGGGGATCACAGGCAAAAAAAATGAAGATGACAAATTCTAGAACCCAGACACCTTGTGACCTTATAAGTTTATGAATTAAAAAAAAATATATCCATGGTCTCCTGGCTTTGTGCCAAAGCTGGCAACATATTCATATACAGTATGCGGCAAAAAAATGGCTACACTCATGTCTAGATATACCTCATCAAGAACTATAACAAGGAGAGATTAAAAAAATTTTTTACTTAATTATAAATAGTTGATTTAACATCTGACAATATCTTTTACTCAATATGGGCACCATCAGCCCTGATTACAGCCTCCAAACGGCCTCTGAAGGCTGAGCACGTCTTGATGATGTAGTCCTCCTTCATGTTAGACCAGGCCTTCGTGATGGAGGACTTCAGGGCTGCCACAGATGAGTGGGGTTTGTTGCAGGCAGCCTCCTCTACAAACGCCCACACGCTGTAGTCCAGGGGATTAAGATCTGGGGAGCTGGGGGGCCACATATCCTTGTCCCAGAA